CTAAATGAAAGTGTTAATGATGATTTCAACAGTTCTCTTTCTTTGTTAATGATGATTTCAACAGTTCTCTTTCTTGTTATAAGGCTTCAAAACTGGTTAGAACTGCATTTATATTGACTGACACTGGTTTAAACTGGTTTAATCGTGCACCATGTCTCTGATTGGTCAAATTTCTAACATTTGGGGAAATCTGTATCTGCTCTTGGCCATGTGACAATGAAACACCTGTGAAGTAGACAGATAACGTATCACATAGTCACCAGATATCCTTAACAGAGTTTGATTATCTAACCTTTGACCAGTTATATCACTCCCAGGTTGTTGTTGACAGGTTCTTACATGCCATATTCGATTGAAATTTAAGTTGAATCCAGTACTGCATTTGTCACAGTAATTCAATTTAATTTGATGCTGTGCCTTTCCATGTCTATTCCAGGAGCTGACACTAGCAAATATTTTTCCACAAAATCGACAAACATAAAATGAATTCAGCCTTTTCAAACTGAAAAAGAAAAAAAAACGCTCAGAATTTACTTTTAAACGTTAACTTTATAAGTATAAACATTATCTCACATCACTGAAATAACTATAGAGTAAAGTTTGAAATGTTCTCTATTGTTTAGGTCACTTGTTTCGCTAAGTTCTTTAATTTGTAATCACAAGATGTTTTGTCATGGAAATAACATAAGTAGAATGTTCTATTTTTCTTACTTAATAATATATATTAGCTTTCATGTTAAACTATCTTAATGATCTCGCCAAATTTACAATAAGATTTAATTAAGAAAAATAACAACTTGCCTTTTTAAACTCTGTAGCCATATAAATGTAAGTTTCCAAAATTCTTAACTTGTTTTTGGTCTATCCTGTCAGTTTCGTTTTATTGTTCAGATGTCTTCGTTATAACTAAGAGATGTTAACTCTCCAATAAGTGATCCTATGAATGAAATAGATGTTTACAATAATTACTAGGTGTGTTGTGTTGTAATAAAAGATTACTTGGGGAAGAGAGAGCGTTTCATTGATAATAAAGTTTACACAAGGAATTACCATATTTACTTAAATCATTATGTATTGTTTAGCAAAGGTATTATTTATCCTATACATTTACTCCTGCTCCAAGCATGGGAAATTCAAAATGTTTTAATCAGTTGACTCTTCGTTCCTTGCTTTGCCATGGTTGTTGTCAGAATGATGACTTAAACACTGCTCTTTCTTGTTATAAATCTGTAAAACTGGTTTGAACCAGTTACATCGGTGGAACATTTCTCTGATTGGTTGATTATCTTACATCTGATTGCATGAAAATATACTGTCCCCGATTGGTTAAAACAGTCCATACATACTGTTTCCTGATTGGTTAAAATGATTCTGCATCTCGAAATCTGATTGGTTAAAATATACTCTACTCTGATTGGTTAACATAATTCTGTAAGTTAAAACCTGTTTGGTTGAAATGGTTCTGCAGTTATCTTTTTTACTGTTTTATCAGTTTGTTATTCACCTTTGACCTATAACAATGAAACATCCATGAAGTAGACAGATAGCTTATCACATAGTCACCAGGTTACCGTAACAGTGTTTGTTTGATTATATTATCAGTTATCAGAAACCCTTGATCTTGCACCAATTATCAGTAACCTTTGACCAGTGATATAAAGTGGCATGATGGTTCTACAGCTTATACAACCTATGAAGTATGTGTCAAATATAATTGGTCAAATTGATATATTACAGCCATGTGATTGGTTGAAATTGTTGTGCAGTTATCTTTTTCACTGTTTTATCAGTTTGATGTCCACCTTTTATCTGTAACAATGAAACACCCATGAAGTAGACAGATAGCTTATCACATAGTCACCAGGTTACCGTAACAGTGTTTGTTTGATTATATTATCAGTTATCAGAAACCTTTCACCAGTTATGTCACTCCAAGTGCACCATGTTATCACATGACCTCACTTCCGGTGGAACTGTAACATGTGACCTATGACGTCACTTCCGGTGGAAGTGGAACGTGGAAGTGGAACAGTGCCGGTGCCGGTTGTAGGTCGAAAGTTGCAGCCTATACTACTATTTGGGTATGGTAGTTTGATAAGTTTGTAAACGGACCCAAAACGGTTCTTAGTACGTCCAGTCCGTTCGTGCACGTTTAAGCCCGTTTTCGAGAATGTAGTGAGTACTAGTTTTGTGTGATAGTACGATAATTGATTGCTACTGTATTCAATCTGAGACCATCATGAAATGTTGTTGTTATGGTAGTCTCAGATTCAATGAAGTGAGGAATTGATTCAACTGTGTTAGAGCCATACGCTGCCACAGTGCTAGTCTTCAACATATCACCGTGGCGGGCAGATCGGGCAGATGGATTGCGCCTATTAATTATTCTTTTATATCTTTTGATTCATTTGTTTATACAAAGAATACTTCTTACAGCAGATGCACATGTGCTAGTGACTTGGCATTATCATCCATGTTATATGATGAAAATATTATATCACACATTTATACAGAGGAAGTAGATAGTCAGCTTTAAGTAAATGATGCTGGCTGATGAAGGGACCAGTTATGTCCCAAAAGGTCCAAACAAATATTATTGGTTAGTCTCACTGTATACAATATAATCTAACCCATGAAGATTTTGGGAACTAAAATAGAACTGTATTTGTGGCCGGAGGGTTGCATTGGTGGTAGTGACCTTAAGACATCTTTACATTATTCAAGAAAGATAGCACTACATTTGGGGATATTCAAATGAAGCATTCTTAATTCAAATTGTCAGGTAAATCGTTGATATAATTTTTTGGGCCCCAAAAAATTGGGCCCAAATAAGTTTTGAAAACATTTGGGCTAAAAAATGCCCTAAGGCCTCAAAAAGTAGGCCTTTTTATCATTACTGGGCCTTTGGAGGCCTTATTTTTTAATTAAGGCCAAATTTTAAAGAAAATGGGCCTCAAAATTTCAAAATTTGGGCCCACTTTTTGATTTTATGGGCCAAAACTTTTTCTGCGAAAGCGCGGAAGTTTTTTCTCAGACCTGAAATTTGCCCCCCCCCTCTTGTTGGTTCCCAGATCCGCCCCTGGCCCAGATTCGTCCCATTGGATAACACTGCGGGCGACAATGGAAAACATTGTTTCGCACTTCTTTGCTGCACATTTTCCGGACACACTTTTAAATTGATGAGAACTAGACTGTTCTAGCACTTTTTATCGCCGAGATATTGCCAGTCTATTAATCTGGAGGATGGGGTCAAAAATAAAAATTGATTTCAGCCAATTTTATTATTAAAAACGAGTTTTATTAGATTTACAATATCTTATTATTTACGATAAAATTTTCTAAAATATTTAAATTGTTGACAGAACAGTTTCGTGAATTTAATTGCCCGATATATGCGTTTTCAATTTTTCGACCTTCGGGCCAGTCGATCCGGAAAATTCTTGTGACAATAAGTGCTAGAACAATCAAGTTTGCATCAATTGAAAGTGTTTTGCTGTATTCTCAAATGATTATAACAGGAAAATTGGTTCCAGCCATTCCTGGCAGCAAAGAAGAGCGAAAGAATGTTTTCCATTGAAAAGTGGGCGTCGCCCAAAATGTAATCCAATGGGACGGAAAAATGGCCCACAGACCAGTTTAAACGTTATCCGATTTTTTGAAAAAATCAGTGAACTACCAGCACCATTTGTAACACCGTGTTAAAGGGCCGTTGTGATCTGAAAACATTCTTGAGAAATGAAACACCCTAGCCCAGGATCGAGCATTGGGGAACTTTAGAATTAATGACTGATAAGATTCTGATAAGTTTGACTTATGACCATACATAACTAATAAACCCAAACTATCAATAAAACGTTTAACTTTAAATCCTACCGCGGATAATTCTTCTGATACTTCATGATTTTCGTAATATTTTGACAAAATAATGATTCGGGAACGTTAATATATGTATATTTTACAAGTTGTTGGAAAATTGACTACATCTATGGTGACAAGAGGGATTTTTCACCAAATTTTAGCTATTTCTGCTATTTCTATTCCGAGAACCTGCATGGGATTTTGCTTTGGAACCACGATTTTTTCTCCGATGAGCGAAACATATACTGTCTTCTAAGCTTCTTAGTAGAATCGTGACAACTTGCATTTTCTTTTTGTTAGTAAAAATAAATGCATATAAAAGGCCAATGTATAATCGAAAAGAGAAGTTCAAAGAATAATATCAAAATCAATTGGATTATCTGTATTTGTTTAATTTACCAATCAACAAGCTTTTATTCAAAGTACATCAACCATTTTTACCATCCCCCATCAATTCTTTTACAATTTTTATGCAAAGTACTTGAACACATGATTCATCATTTGTATTATATAAATGATCCAATAAAGGTCCGGGATTTTTATTATATTTTTGAGTCTTTGAAAAAAAGAATCGTGGTGTATTTTAAATAATCAAGCGAATGTTGGAATTTTTTCTTGAAGATTATACATTGGCCTTTAATATGCATTTATTTTTACATCAAGAAACTTCTCGCAAAAAATAATAACTGTCTAAAATTGTTGGCACAATATTGTCCACGACCCTTTCAAACTGATGGATGATTCTAAAATTTAACAGAATGGACTCGCTGAAAAGAAGGGAAATAAGGTAGGTTAGAAGAAGTCCCCATATAGTCTCACAATGAAATTGCAGGTCATTTTATTTTGTGAACTGGTCTACCATAGTTGAGTTGGTTTTATTCATTATTTAAAAATTTGAAAAGTTTGTAAACTGGATCGTTTATCTATATAATAACCGAAAAAATTCATTTCTCAAGACCCCCAGCAAACAACCGCCAAGAGTACAATTTTACACTGAACGAATGTTGATCCCCGGGGATATTTCATACATCTCTTACATTAAAATTAATTTATAAAATAAATATACATGTAAACGCAAGATTGGAATATTTTGGATTTAACTTCCTTGAGACTCATCGGGGTAATTGTTGATATATTTCCAGATTAGGGAATGCAACTGAACCTGATGTTAAAGAGTCATTCGTGTATTTTCCTGAAAATCTAGCAGTAAGATACTTTCAATATTGAAGTTTAGGTTATCTAAAGGATGAATATCTATCTGATTTTCAATATTTAATTTCTACTTTGAAATATGTAAAAACTCTTTCCCATGATGGAAGCGAGTGATAGCCTATCTGTACGCTAACTGCCAGACTGCCCACCCATGAAAGTAAAACATATTGCACCTATTATATCTGAAGTAACTACATTTTATTAACAATAACAGCCATGGCCGGAGATCGAGGACTTTAAAGAGAGTTTCATTGACGTATTCCACAACTTCACAATTCTGCTTCATAGGATTTTAGAAGTTTTAGCGCTCTCACTAGATCTGGTATGTATTATTATGCCAATTTTGAAAGAATTAAATATTCTATGGTATTGGATTTATGTTTTGGATAGGGGGCGTGATATGATTATATTATAGACTTTTAATATAGGGTGTTTGTTTTCTTTATGAATATACATGTACGTGCACTTATATGTTTTATTTTGGTAGTTGTGCGTACATAGGTAACACATATAACCATTTTCCGATTAAGATTCCTCTCGTGCTAGATATAATTTACATAATATAGATGGGTTGAATACAATATCATTAATATTATTGATTTCTAAACAATTATGACTCGATTGTTGCTATAACCAAGGACGTCTTGATTGAAGGAAAGGGAGTTCTTTAAGAAGCACCATTGTACATTAGAAAGGCAAGGTGGGACAGTTATGCGTACAGCATTGTACCCAAAGATGCCAGATGACTTTAAGAAAACTGATGGTCAACTTAGATGTTCAGAACATACAGACTGGGGAACTGTGACCGTTATCCACCAAGATAATGTCGGTGGTCTACAGGTAGTTGTATAGGAATTATGTGGTGTCTGTAAAAGGAGGGCCATAAAATGAGACACTGCATCATTCTAATTCTAAGGAATGATTGCGAACATAAAGATGAACCATATGTACAAAGGAAAATATAGGGAATTTATGATGAGTTTTAATAAAATGTAATCATATGTCGTATATCGTGGATGCTTTGAAAGCTATGATAGTCATAGATTTTGACATCAAAAGTGTCTAAAAACATATCTTGCTCTAAGGATATACCCCAAAATTCCAGAAATTTCGTTATGAATTATTTTTCATTCGTTGTAAAGCCTGGATTGGTATCTATATTTTCTTTAGTATATTATACTTTTCGCAATTATCATGGAATAAAAATTACTTTTTGTAAATGATTTTAGGTGAAGACTAAATCTGGCGAGTGGATTGATGTGAAACCAAAGGATGGTACGTTTGTGGTGCAAATTGCAGACCTTATGCAAAGATGGACGTCAAATAAATTCTACGCTCCTGTTAGTATAAAGTTACACTGAAGCCCAGGCTCTATAATTATTAGTTACTATACCTTGATTATCTAAAATAGGTATCTTACATTATGCACCTAATATGTTGCTCCGGGTAAGGCTTTTTATTAATTAACACCTTTAACCTTTTTCCATAAAGAGGCCAAAATATGTTACTTATAGGTAAATATTCACGAATAAGATAAATATCAGTTGAGTTCCCCGATCGTTGAAATTCCCTCTCAACTGTAGTAAAATTTGATAAAAGAATAAAAATGATTCCATACGTTGGTGACAGTCACATGTTAGTTCGAAATGATACCATACTGAAACACCAAGATTAAATAAAAACCATGTTTTACAGCCACACAGAGTTTTGAAATTACCAGATGAAACCAACAGCTTCATTGGAGCCAAAAGATCTAGGTTTAGTCTGATTTATTTTGGAAACCCGGATTCTGATACAGTGGTACAAGGGATTGACGGATCGAAGTATGAGCCTATTATTGCATCCCATTACTATGAAGAGTTGAATGAGAAGGCTAGTAAGCAGGGTTATGAAGAAACATTTCACCATACTTTGGACATTTAATGAATCAGAATATACCCAAATGCATCAGATGCAAAAATGACTAGGTACATTGCTGTAATCGTGTAACTATGATGTAGAATGCGACTGAATTCTGCAAGCATAGAGTTACCTTGGGTTGGGTTGTCACAAAATATTGTAAAATAGGAACTGAAAAATGATAATGATGATCCGAAGGCTGCTCTTTTAAATCTGCTTTATAAAACCAATTCATACTAGAAATATATTGATACTGTTACATGATACATGTAGATGCAAAACAATGACTTTAAGATAAACTATAATATAACTATACTAAACTAAACTACTAAACTATAATATTTGAAGTTACCAGATGATATTTTCGATATACTACTGTAAACAGCCGGCCGATTGAGTGTTTTGTTCAATGTTGTATTCAATTTTTAACAAAATACTCAATTGGCCGGGCGCCGTAGTGAAAATCGGAGCAAATGTGACCAAGGCATTAGTAATATTCAAATATAGAAAGACACATTAGTCAATTACTTTGACTTTCAGATGACTTTTCAGTGACTAATAGGGGGTCAGCCTACCCGCAAGCTGAAACTGACAATGTAAGACTTGAGTTCTTCCATATACATTTCAGATGAATTGATTGAAATGCATTTGTTAAACCGTATACCGATATTGGCCTTTCAGCATAACACCCGGGTTAAAAAGTTTTAATCCCCAAACACTGGCAATGCTTGCTGTAATATAACTTACATGCTTTCAATAGCGGCCCCATAGCGTTTCAGCCCGATTGATTCCGCACTCAATTGCAAGTGACATTATACCCTTTGCGAAGAATAGCCTCAAGCATGCAATAATTGGCTCAACCTAAGAGGGAATAACTCGTTTTTGAAAGCCATGGTTTCATTTTATCTATTGTATTTCGCGGCAAATTGTTTCAACCACACATGTCGTGTCACATGACGTAAAATTTCTGCAGTCTGAAAATGAAATCAGTTTTGCCGCGAAAACAGACACGTGCTGACTTTATATCCCCGATATGATGATAAAATGAAGTGTTGGAATTGTTGATGGTTCACCATCGTAAAGTTTGGCCTTTATACGGTAAGATAGCATAAATATATCTAAATCGAGTAAAATTATGGTTTGAGTACTTTAAGTCGGGTGAAGGAATCCCATGTATCCTTTCTGCTTTTACATTGCATACAGTAAAATCTTAAATGTTTTGAAATACTTTGAATTTAAAAAATAAGCAATCAAATGACACTATATTGAAACAGTATATAAAATATAGAAACATATATACTTGTCCTAACTTTTGTATATTTCAGATAGTTATGTATAATGTGCAGCAAAGATGTGGCCTTTTGTGATTAAGGGAGTTTCAGCCATGTTAATTTTTCCGAAAATAACATGGCAGAGAAGCATCAAAATATAAGAGGCCACAGATATGATAGCTAAACTACAAAACAAACTAAAATATACAAAGTTAGGACATGTATAAATGACTCTATTTTTACATACTGTTTCAATGATCCTTTGATTGCTTTTTTTAATTCAAAGTAGTTCCAAACATTTAAAATATTACTGAAGCTATTCTTATCAATATTTTCTGAAGTTTTAAATGTGGTTCTAAAGTTGCTTAATTGTTACACCCAGAATCTCTGCTACACCCCATATTGGGATGCAGTTTTGCAAATGAGAGTAGATTAATGAATATTATATTGTCAAAGGAGTTTTTAAACTGACAAGATGTCTTGTCTTAAAAAGTATTCCCAAAGTCTTTCAAAAATTTCAGAAGGATATATATTGTATAAGTTCTTTCCAATTTAGATTAAGATCAGCGACAACACAAGAAAGTTTGTTGAGATGACTCGATTGGCTTTTGAATTTATAGTTTTGATAGATGGAAATATCAACAGGGACCAATTGCTGGTTCGTAAAGAATACTATATAAGTTTGTTCAAGTTTTACCTGCGGTGACATTCCAACATTGTTATGGACCTTGGCATATACCTGTGTTCACTCAGCCCTAACCTGTGTGTTGTGTTTCCATCGAGGTATGATATTTTTTAGTTATAGCCAAGGCCATTGTATGGATAGTTTCCAAATAAACTAGATGCAAGTAAAAAAGCTTGATTTTCTTCATTGAATATTCATGATCAGTCAGAATAATATCATATTTGAAATCTACACAAAATTGCATAAGGAAATGGAATTGTTGATCGATTTTGAAATTTCATTAAGATTTTTAGATCGAGTTGAATACTTAACGAGACGAGTACTAAATTAGTAAAGGACAAGTGGAGAATAACACAATTGCAACAGCAACAACAACAACAACGGTAGCAGCAACAGAAACAACAACAACAACAACGGTAGCAGCAACAGAAACAACAACAACAACAACGGTAGCAGCAACAGAAACAACAACAACAACAACAACGGTAGCAGCAACAGAAACAACAACAACAACAACGGTAGTAGCAACAGAAACAACAACAACAACGGTAGTAGCAACAGAAAGAACAACAACAACGGTAGTAGCAACAGAAACAACAACAACAACCGGCTTGAAGAAGTTCAGAAATGTCTTTCACGCTTGGTGAGTATATAATAGGAGTTCATCTCTACGCCCGCATTAGTTATTAATTACTAACGAGCACATTTTCACTACATTCGGAAAAGGGAATATGGCAAACAGTTTTCTGTAGCTACCATTCTCAAAATTGCTTTATTTGAATCATTTAGAATGAGTACACATTGCAAGTGAATCGTTTTCTTGCGTACAAATCGAATCCAAATTAGTTAGAACAAGCCTTGATTTGTCTGTATAGCCGAACTGTGAGTAAAACTTCCAATCGTTGTTTAGAAGAATACAAAATTGAGGTCAAATTATTTGTACTAATGAAGTAATACGCTCCTAAACTTATTTAGTCTTTGTTATCTTATCATATTTTATCATTTATTAATGGAAAGTTATTGGTGATGCATTCTTTCTTTTTTGTTCATTAAACACTCTATCTTTATCAGTATGTCTCTTATACTCACTTTTACACTTGTTTCTCATATAACTTGTGGCAGCTGGCTTTAAACTAGAGTCTTTCTCTCTTATATTTTGATTTCATATTCAATCTTGGCTGGCTCTAATGTTTCACCTTAATGTGCAAAAGATACATTATAATATGAACTGTCAGGCCATTGGCCTAATTCTTAATATGATGTTTTTCCAGAGGCTTGTTATGCGACACTTCCTCGCACAAGGCGTGGTCAGCATATTGTGATTGGTGGAGATCCAAAGGGGAAGAACTTCCTGTATACCAATGGGACCAGTGTCATCATCAGAAACATTGAGGTTTGTGTTTTTATGAAGAGCAGTTTGATCAACAAGTTTGTTATATGTGTGTTATATGATGATGAGTATATTTTAAGTTGCATTTTAAAGTGATCTCTAAATTATCTTTAGATATGTTACAATCCTCTTTTGCATAATCTTAACGAAATAGGGATTTAAATATAGTAAAATAAAACCTGTCTAATTGGACGCTACTGGTTAAAGAGTTCACAATGGCAGGCCTTCTCATTTTCGTTCGAAGTTTTTTAAATTGTAATATATGGCAAATTAGGGAAACTGGACAAAAAGTGACACAACTCCAAGCGTTCAGATATCCATAGGTTAGTAGTAGTACGAGGGTTGTCCCATAAGTCTTGAAATTTTTATTCTAATTCAAAAGATATTTGAGATACAATGATAAAAATTTCACATTTTGAAACTTAGATATATTTCTACTATCTCTGTAAGTTTCATAGCATAATAAGATCATTTGAAAATGTTACAGATGATTTAAAATGGAATGTTGGGGATACCCGGGGCAGAAAACATGATAAAGAATACAAATATGACGTTCAAAATTAAGGATTTGGAAACCCCTGGCTCAGCTCAACACGTTGCCTTATCTGATCCTCTGTCAAAATATGCAGAACGAATCTAGGGGCTACCTTTGACATCCCAAGGTGTTTCTTCATCACTCTGTGAGCAGTACTCTTACTAATATCAAAGTCTAGGGCGATATTCCTATACTGAGTAGTTCTCCTTTCGGCCCTTATACTCTCTGCAATATGTGATATAAGATCGTCATTGGATTTTGGCCTTTCACTTCTAGGAGCATCCTCCAGGCTGGTATCTCCAGTTTTTAACTTCTTCTGCTACCTACATATTGTAGGTGCACTCGGAGTTTATTGTCTATATACCTTTTCCATGGCTGTTCTTGTTTGTGAAGGTGTATGCCCTAAAATAACGTTGTATTGCACAACTGCACGCAAACATTTAACATCTGGTGACGAAATCCCTGCCATTTTGATTTTCAAAATGCTGTGGCTCTGTACCAAAATTGAGCAATTGTGCTAGTTTATTATGAAATCACGGGGGTATTTCATAAGATTTTACCAAGAATATAGTGTTTTTGTCAATCTTGACAGGTGATTTGCAATTTAAGATGCATACCATCCTTTAAAATCCTTAATATTCCCATGGCTCCATTTTACATTTTTACTATATCTCATTACTGCCCCACCCACCGACTCCCCCGGTTACCATAGCAACCATAATAGTTACTCAAGTTCATAATTTTGTTATGAAAATTTCACATGTTGAAAATAATTGATTGATCTTGATACATACAAATTCTCAGCCAAATTCATTAAAATCTTTTTGAATTAGAATAAAAATTTCAAGACTTATGGGACAACCCTCGTAGTATAGTACATGTTAATTATTTGTTAGGGAAAACACAATATAAATCACATGAAACTCTGTCTACCTTAAAGCCAGAATCAGATCTTTGCAGAATTTTTCAATTTTAGTATATTTTGGCTCATATCATTCCTCATCCTTGGTCCAAGGGTATTTCAGTCTGTTGCATAGCTGCGATTGGAGTGAAGTTCGATCTTAAAGGACGATCATTTCTTTTCAGAATACCTCCACCATTAAATCATTTTCCAGGAAAGAAAATTTTACATTGATATGTTCATTATTCAAAATAGCAAGTTCATATATGTTGAATCCATTGCAGGACCCTTCCATAGCTGGTGTGTACGCAGGGCATAATAGAGAAACAACAGTGGCTAAATACTCCCCCAATGGCCTCTATATTGCTTCAGGAGGTAATACACTTCCTTCAAAAAGTTTGACAACTGGAAGCCCTTCTGAATTTCTTATCAACGCCTGTTTTTCTTATGAATAGTTTAAAGAAATATTGTAATTCAACAACACAATTACGATTCAAGCATTGACAGGCGTCGATATGCTATCCGGTGAAAACCGCTGGTTGCCAAACTTATGGGTGGGGGTGTAAGCTCTTTAAACACAGTCTGACTGTGCATAACAAAAAGTTGTTTTAATTGGGCTTCTTCACGGGTGTCCAACCACGATGATACCATGAGCACATGCTTTGAGGATCCGCGTTGTTTGAACCTACCGCCGAGCAAACTTATACATTAAGACCCGTTACACAGTCATGTTACCGCCGAGCAAGCTCCTTGTATCATCGGGTCTGCTTTACCCCCGTGTTCTTCATTCAATACATAATTTGATGTAAGATATTTTATGCAAGTTAAGGAATATCAAAAGAATGGAAACAAGATGAGCGTATATGAACTTTTAAGAGAGGATCTAAAATTATTTATTTTGATACACCAAAAGTAAATAAAATTTGAGTGAAAATAACGGTAACGAATCTACTTTGATTAAGGGGAAGTCAAAATAGTTCTAAAGGAAATCATTGTCATCTTTCTTCTTTATAACACACAATACTGTGAGATATATAACTTTGCTAACTGAAGCTACAACGTTTAACTTATATTTAAAAATAGTTTATCATACAATATAACCACAGCAGGCATTTTTGCACAATTGCCAATTATGACATTGAAACCTGCTGCTTTCATAAGTTTAATACTTTATGGGCAAAATGCACGTGCTCACTTGGAGGCTATTGCCACTTAACAGTTTAACAATCAAGATGTGAGAAATATCATTATTCTACTAAATAAAATTATTTATCTCATGGTTTCAAGGATATAGATCGAATATTAGGTTAATAATATTTGATATGTGGATCAAGATATCATATTTTTGCATAAGACCCCTAAACCATCGAATATCACTTCTCAAACCATCTCAAAAAGTGATACTCGATGGTTTCAAACGTGATATTCGATGATTTTATAAGTGATATTAAGATTTTTTCATTTTTTAAAAAAAATTCTCAAAATTTCTGAAATCTTTTTCGCTGGATTAAAATTTTCCATGGGATAAACGGACAATTATATGGTTTTTCAAAAATATCAATTATACCCACTCATGGTTATCAATATCTTCGCTGCGCTCACACACATGAAGATATCAATATCCACTCATGGATATAAATGATATTTCTTCAAAACCATAGGATATTCATATAATACTCAACCTGAAATGTAATACAATTTTTTGAAGTTTATATTTTCTTTACTTCATAATACTTTTCAACAAATAAATGCAGGGCTTACGCCGAAGCAGTATTGGCCTTGTAGTTTTCAATGGTACAATTACAATAGTAGGTTTTAATATAAATATGATAGATATGAAACGATAGATATAATATATAATAGAAAAAGTCACGAAAACTCGAAGACAGACCAAAGATAAATGTACATATTCAATAATATTGGACTATGCCTTGACTTCCTTGACAATGGAGTATAGAAAATCAGCTGTTAGTTCAATAGCCTTCTTATTTTAATGGAGTCAAGAGAGCAATCAGCAAAAAGTCTACCCTGTCTTCCTGTTTTCTATTATTAAACGAGTTTAAATTAAAGGATGCCAGTCCTCCTAGTTCTCTTTGAAGGTCGAGTCTTAAATTATTGGAGCAATAGGGCATTGGTTGACTCAGAAGAGTGACCACATTTGCATTTGTCATTTGGGACATTTTTGAAGTAGGAAGACATAAAAAGTTTTATTTCATTGCCAGCTATATTATATCGTATGTGTGTCAATGTCGTGTATGTGTGCTATAATACTCCAGTAAAATCTTGAAAAATAAATGAAAAAATTGCAACACAATTTAAACCTAGTGTAATCAATAGCCATTGGTAAGTGAAACAACATATCAAAAATCTAGAAAAATCTAAGCAGTGGAAGACTAAGAATTCAAGGGATGAAGATACCCCCCTTAATCACCCCCTCAATCTTAATGATATATCTTTAAAAAAATCTCATTCGGCTCTCATTACAAAATTGTAGTTCTTTTTTTTTGGATATGCATCAGAGACATATTAAAATTGAGAAATCTATTCAACAGAAAATTAAAAATTGTCAGAAAATGTATTTTTGTGTATGTTTATACCCTACCTTGTATTATATTTTGGATCATTTTTCACTATATTTATGTATAACTCTATTATCAGGCTTAATGGTAACTTGTAAAAATTCATGCTAGCTGAACTAATGTCAAAGATTAGGCATGGTCAATATCAAAACTTGAGCTTAATTAGGTTTGTCAGAAAAAATGCTGAAAATATCATAAATGTGTTAATTTTTCAGGTTCAATTTTAGGGTCAGGATTAGCTTTCACCTAATAAGTTTTGCATTTGAAGTGTATCAGCCGAATTTTTGTCTTATTATTGTACTATTGATGAGTACAATCCAATAGAACATGATTTTGTAGATGAATGGAACATGGGAAAGTGCATAAAAATGATTCTGACATAAATTGGGGGGGGGGGGGTAGACTATTTCAGCTTTTAGAATAACATGTCTAGATCATGGTTTGCTTCTGTAAGGATACAAATTGCCTTTTTATATTGAGAAATGAACTTCAAAAATACACAATACTCTTTTATATTTATACCATGACTAAATTATCAATGCTTGAAAACTTTTCATTTTCCATGACAATGCAATTACACTGTATCTAAATCAATATCATCAATTTTATTTGTGTTTGCACATTTTTCTTTTTTGAATGTTTGTTATCAGGATGCTATCTCCAAAATGTGCCTTGAGTCTGTCCTTCATGTAACGGCAACTGAAAGGCTCATTTCCTTCTAAATACTCATTCATTTTTTCCAATGTCTCCGCAATTGAAATTTGCTCATCTTCAGCTTGCTCTAGATATTTTACTACCATTTTAAAAGCATTCTCCCTTTCTTCTTCTTGTGGCCTTCCCACATTTTTAACCTTTGAACCACCCTGTTCAAAAATTCGGGGGACATCCCTCCCAGTTCTAAAGTTTGTGCTACATACTTGATGGTGCACAGCATCTGCTGCTGGAAGGTCTGGACAAAAAAGCATCCGATCTTTTACTTCATCGCTCCATGGCGAATTAAGTTTGTCGCATATTTTTAAACACGTGGAACTATAGTCTAGGGTCATTATAGGGTTCAGTTTGAAATCAGTCTTTCTACCTTGATATGGGTCACCCTGTCCACAAAATAGGCAATTTGTCTTATAATTGAATTTGACTTCTTGAGATCTTAGATTTTTGGAATTTCTTTCTGTTGGTGCACTTAGTTTCCGTTTCAAAGCAGATATGACATTAGTATTTGTATACTCTTTTCTACAATGGACATGAACAACTTGCCCAACTGCTATAGTAAAGCTATCATTTCTAGCATTAATATTGCCTTTTGTAAACCTGACATGCCCTTTTCACCCAGTTTTACAGTTGGCACAGTACTGTCAGAGAGTGTTTCATTACAAAGTATGCACTCATCATTATCCACATCCATCATCTCAGCCATGATTATGATTTCTACTTAACTAGTACTTAACTAACTACTTAACTAATCTTGTATATCTTATCTACTCTAACTAAATTATGTTAACTATCTTAACTAAACTAAACTATCTCAACTACATGTAATTCATATTTTATCACATAACAGCTTAGCTAATTGCTATGGATGGTTCCCTATGACTGAATAGCTATATGTGAATGAAGCAAGACTGTATGTACAGTATTATTATATATCTACCATTTACATGAGAATATACAAGTATATAATTGTCTCGATAAAGGAGGTATATTGTAATGTCACAATAGTAACACTAAGACAAAGAAAAAAAATCTTCAGCTATATATACAATAGACTGTGTATCAACACAATTACACAACCTTACCACAAAATGTGGACTTTGGGATACCGCACCACAAATGTAAACTTGGGGATACACACAACAAAATGTGGACTTGGGAATACCGCACCACAAAATGTGGACTTGGGAATACTGCACCACAAAATGTGGACTTGGGAATACCGCACTACAAAATGTGGACTTGGGGATACCACACCACAAAATGTGGACTTGGGGATACCGCACCACTAAATGTGGACTTGGGGATTCAGCTTGGTTCTGGACAATTAAATCAAAATCATACCTGTGTCCAAATACAGCTAACCAACTTTTCAGCTCACCTACCAGCACAGCTTTTCAGCACTGCTTATCAGCTCATCACAGCTCAATCAGCAAGGCAAATGACATCTGACAATTTTGTGTATTGAAGCATTACATGTATAACTCAACCTAATTACATAATGTAATTTATCTTTTCATAATCAACTTATTCCTAGGTATGCAGATTAAATTTGCAATCACATCAAGGATATTTTTGGTTAAATTGCAATATTTAAATAATGCTTGTAATTTGGTATAATGGAATATCACATAGATAATGTTTATTATTTTAATTATTTGATAATACTGGATGAAAATAAGGCATACAAAATAATCTAAGCCATGAACGCACATTATTCGACCAATTCAACATCCCACATGCCATGCTCATCCAGTATTATAAGTGTTTATAGAACATAATATGTACTATACTATTGCGTTTATTATGCTCTGTTACTATGGCAACCAATCATGTTCAGACTCATTACATTAAAGAACTACATCAGCATCCATGACCTCTATAAATATAACTGTGACTGATCCTGTAAAATGACATTTCTAGGAAATTATCACCAAAAAGTGCCACGCCCACTTTTGAGTGGATAGAGTGATGGTCACCTAATAAAATATAGTCCAGAGTCAAAGATATCATATAATTCATCAAATTAATCATGTTATCTTATTAAACACTCCCCATATATGTTTTAAGGGTAACTTTATGTTCATTTCTAAATGATTTGAAGAGAAATGGCAACATCAGTTAGTATAGGAAGCTTCAAATTTACTGAAATATTAAAGATTTTGAGCATTTAAGTTGTGTTGCTATGGTAACCAATTGACCAATTTATATCAAACTTGCTGTGACAACTGAACTATATAAAGGTGCATGATCCCTGAAAATTTTATTGTGATTGCAGTTACATAACAGAAATTATTAATGTTTATCACAGTACCCCTTCATTAAATTACCCCAGGGGGTATAAATGGTGATTTAAAGGTTTTCCACCACTTAGATTTTTCTAGATTTTTGATATGTCATTTTACTTACCAATGGTTATTGATTACACTAGGTTTACATTTTGTTGCAATTTTTTCATTTATTTGTGAATATTTACAACGGTTTTACTGGAGTATAATGATACTTTGAATGGATGATAATATACTAGAATAAAGCATCCAGCGGGGGGACCTATTTGACAGATTATCCGTAAGACTGGTTTAAAATCGAATCCCCCAAAAATATTATAAGTTGACAATTTAGGGAAGATTTTATTAGAAAGCTACAAAGTTTGAACTTTTAATACTTGCTTTATAGAACCTATTTGTCGCTATGTATGTTTTTCTATATATTCGCCTATTACTGTAAGAGTTTCACTGCTAAAAAATATAAATTTTGATAAATAAATGAATGAAATTATAAAACCCTGTTATTTCAGATATCTCTGGGAAGGTCAGAATCTGGGATGCAGTGGACAAGGAGCATATTTTAAAATATGAGTATCAACCACTCTCGGGCAGAATTTGTGATTTAGCTTGGTCAAGTGATAGTAAACGAATTGTAGCAGTTGGTGAAGGAAGAGGAGAGTAAGATTCATTCACGTTTTTTAACATGCAACATGGGTCTCTAATAAAATTTTGTATTTTTAGTGGAACATTTAAAACACAAAAACAGTTTTTTTTTCTAAAACTAAATAGAGTTGCTGAAAGTCGAACACTTTAGATGTTATTAAATTGTCGGTTGATAAAATTTTAGGAATATTCTTCTTCATTTACAGAGTTATTTTATGTTCTGTCACGGGGACAATTTATTTTGGACACCCTGTGTAGGCTGCAGTATAAATGTTATCTTAGTTATGATGTGGTCACATTTGTTCCGATTTTCGGTATCGTGCACGGCCGATGAGTATTTTTTCAAAATGCGTTCAGTTTTGAACAAAATACTCATCGACCGGCCGCCGTTGTTGAAGATAGGAGTAAATGTGGCACGGCATTAATGATTATCAAAAAATCTATTTTTGCTATGGCATTGTACGAGATTATGGGATGGATGATACTTCTGTATCCCTTAATAATTAAATACAGATTTATTAACTATTGCACAAGGGGATCAAATTACAATTGTATGTGTATCATCAAAACTATAGTATTTAACATTAATTTCATTTCCAGAATTAGACCAAAATATACCATGAAGATTTCCACAAACAGAGATGTAAAAATGATAATTTCGCTTCTATGTATCTGAGATGGACGTTGTCCATCGCATGGCCATGTTAACCATGTTATTGTGTATTTTCCAGATATGGCGCAGTATTCTTATGGGACTCTGGGTCGTCCGTTGGTGAAATCAGCGGAATGTGCAAGTCGATCAATGGCTGTGACTACAAGCAAACTCGTCCATTCAGGATAGCTGCTGCTAGTGAGGATTATTCTGTAACATTCTTTGAGGGGCCACCTTTCGAATACAAAACCACCATTGATGTAAGCTACGACTTTAATGTTGTATTCGTAGTATTTTATAAGTTGCATTTTAAAGTGATCTCTAAATAATCTTCAGTGATATATTGAATATTTTCAAGATGGCTGCAAGACCAGATCAGAATAAATTTTAGTTGTCACACAAACACATTGTTAAGCAATGATTTACACCAACGCATAACAAACATTTTTACTTAATACTTAATTTTGAAAGTTGTGTTCCATATTTTTCAAAACTTGAAAAGTAATATTTGAATGATTGAACTATATTTCAGGAGCACACAAATTTTGTTAATACTGTCAGATATGCGCCAGATGGCTCTGTCTTCATATCTGGTGGGGCAGATGGAAGGGTAAGTGTTCTTTCTATATTTCATAATAACAAATTGAAACAGACCATCATATTTGGGTCACGTGTTAGATTTTACAATTTCCCAGGGCACAAAAAGTAAATATTAAACAATAAGGTTGGAGATTTTTATTCAACTGTGATTTTTATATAGTTCTGTCACATCATTTTTCTGTAAAAATGTGTATGTATAATTTACATTTTTCCTCACTGGAATTCAGTAGAGTGTTATTTTTTAATTGACTTTCCTATTGCAAGATCACTTTTATTCTGCATATTGGGTTTTAACTAACAAAAGTGCAACAATCCCAGAAGTTCTCCCGAACCTTATATTTTTAGTTTATTTTATATTTTATTTTATAACAATTTATGTCTAAACATTTTCTTTTCAACACATGCAATAATTCAATATAAGTTTAAACTGTTATAATTATTACATTAAATATTTCCAGGCATTCATTTTTGATGGAAAAACTGGAGAGAGGCTTGGGGAGTTGGGACTACCTAGAACAGCTCACAGAGGAGCCATTAATGCTGTAAATATGACACACTCCTAGTATATCTTGTAAATTATCGGTTAATGTCTCTCTAGTTGATTTAATATTCGAACATGACTGTATTCACGCCTTCTATAAACTTTAAACAAAGTCAACATTTCACCCGGGGTATATTCACGAACAATACCCCTGATAATACGAGTGATGTGTGACGTCATAGTGACTTGGTATTGAAGGTAATTACACTCGTAACTGATGAGTCAATCATATTTCCAGATCTCCTTCAGTCCTGATAGCAAAGAAGTGCTGACAGCATCGGCTGATAAAACCTGCAAAATATTTAATTTGGACAGTTATGAAAATCCCCAATGTGTCGTGTGAGTAGAAGTATTCACTTGTTTATAACGATCAGGCATTTGATTTATACATTATTTCGATTTCTTTTTCTTATGAATGCCCAGTGACACTTGACCTACGGCAATCGTACGGTGGCCGTAGCTTCCCAAAATCGAGATATAAAGACAAGCAGTATTTTCTATATCGATTGTGTGAAGTTACAGTTGCCGTACGCCCACCGTAGAGCAAAGCTGAAGTTTCACTAACATTGGTAAAGTTAACTTGAATTATATTCTATTGCAGTGTATTCCCTATGGGCAGAAATCTTGAAGATATGCAGGTGGGCTGTCTCTGGCAGGTCGACTACCTCATCTCTGTATCTCTGTCTGGACATATTAACTACCTTGATAGGGACAACCCATCTCAGCCCTCCAGGATTATCAAGGTTTGTAACATACTAAGCAAATTCTTAATACAGTAAATTCTGTTCACAGTGAAACATACTTAAGGGTAGTCATTTTTACTGTGTAAAATATCTTAGTTTGTTGTACGTTGAGTTGCACACATTGAAATGATGGAGAATGCTCAAAACCATGCAGCTAAACAAAACACTGTCCATTGTTAATTTCAGGGCCACAATAAAGCAATCACAGCCCTAGCTCTGACAGAAGACCGCAGTAGTGCATTCACCGGGAACATCGAGGGCCAAATCCTCAAGTGGGACATTAACAATGGTCAGTGTGAGGAAATGAAGGGGGATTGGGGACATTTGAACGAGATTCAGGATCTGCAGATAAAAGATGGCGTCCTCACGTCTATTTCCCTTGATGAAACACTCCGATTAGCAACAGTTGAATCTGCAGAATATAAGTAAATTGAATAATTCTTAAAAACGTGTATAAAGGTACCGTGTTAATCGCTACGATAGGTTTTGTTTGCATCTTTCTTAAGTAATTTAAGTAGTCAAATTATTATATGCTCCTACAAATATCCGCAAATATCCAAAATTGCTATAGCTTCATACGTCAATCGTACTTCATACACTTATAAGAAAAAACAAAATATATGTATTATACATGTTGAATATTTATCACTAAATGATATACACCTAAACAAGCATGCATGTTGGCAACTGGGGCATCTCAGGAATTGACTCTGACACTCTCTTGCGTTTGAAGCCATCTCGTTTGTGACTATCCTTGATCCAAGGGTATTTAACTTCTTGCCATTCTTGAATTGAGTAATAAATGAATTCCTTTGGATGAAGGATGGTTTGCGACATGTGATTGAAAGTTGAACTCCCCAACGTGGCAAATGAAAATCAGTAGCCCCGTAATGCGGATGGTGCTATATTTGAAAGCACCATAAAATGAATGGTGCCGCGCGTTAGTCTGGAAGTGCCATAATATGAATAGTGCTCTGGTCGGAAAACAGTGTTGTCTGGGAGCGTCATAATGTAGATCGTGCTTGCGCAAAAATGTGGATTGCACACGTGTTTGAAGCGCCCCTGGGGAAGCGCGATAATGTGGAATATCCTAAAACTTGATTTCATAATATACTGGAAGTGAAGATTACAATGAAGGAGATTCGAAAAACAGGTACATATAGTTAGATAAGAATTCAATGAACATATGTGAACGCAAGAAAATGACACATTTTGGATTTATTTTGTCTATGTTTCCAGTTCAGATCCAATGGTTTTGGAGTCTCAACCAAGGAAAGTATCGGTTGGGCCTGAAGGGTTATCTGTAGTGGCGTGTTTGAAGCAAGTAAGTACAGATGTGTTTCTTCGCATCATGTTTTGCTTTCTGTGAAGGTGGAAGAACTTTTTCAACTTTTTTCGCTGATGATGATTTTCCATGGGATATACAGAAATCCTATAGGTTTTCAAAAATATCAATTGTATCCACTCATGGATATAAACGAGATTTGGTCAAAACAATAGGATATTTTCACAATATTTTTAGTCACATGGTATCATCTGACTCACCAATAAGAGAACGAGTATCACAGCATGGAGATAATTTGTCTTCTTATTTTTGTCACGTGTAATATGAAGACCAATAAGAGAGAGGGGAATATGACAGTGATATAATAATTGTCATTATTGTTATTTATATATTTCACATCCCTGTATCATACTTTTTAAAGGTGTATGTCTTGAGGGATGGCGAAAAGGTGTTCACTCTCAAAGTTGATTATGAAACTCTGTCTGTAGCAATTCATCCGAGACTCACAGAAGTTTATGTCGGAACAGTAAGTTGCATTGCATCACCAAACCCTGCTATTTCCATGATTAATAATTACCAATACATGACTGACGACTGACGGATTAACAGTGTGAGAATGAGAATGGGCCTGAGGAAAATCAGGAAAAAACAAAATTGCTTTCCCTAACCTGGAAATGTCAGAAAAAATTCAGTATTTCCCCAAAAGACTAGAACAGTCACCAGTTGGGATATTTAAGAATTCTGAGAAAATGTCATTGAATTTTTATTTTTTTGAATCTGGGGAAACTTTGGAAAGTGTCGGGGAATTTTGATATGAAAATGAAATAGCAAACTTGGATTATGTCATTTGTCTCAAGAAGTGGGTTGAGAATGGCAAAACCAGATATGAAGTTTATAAAAAGATAATTGATTTTTCTTGTAGCACTTAAAAATTCATTGAATTTTTTCGAGAATTTTGACATTTTCGCTTTTCTCCACCTATAGCCTTTCTCTACAACGCAATATAAATGTAGCGAACCCGTCGCACTCGACTAGTCGTGACGTATATAATGAATAACCATGTTAAAAATATCCGGGGTAATATATCGCCTAGCTCGGGAGTGTGATTGCCTTCTGTGGTTCCTCTATAATGGACACTCAGGTAGTTTACAGACGTGTTCTGGACCAATTACTATCAAATGTTATACTTTTAGGACCGTGGTATACGTGTGTACAACCTGGATGGTGACACGCTATCCGAGTCCGAAACGATGTCAAAATACTTTTTTGGTGAACATGTCCTCAACTTTTCTCCAAATGGTGAATACCTTGCAAGTGCAGATAACAAGAATCAAGTACGGATCTTAAAACTGGATTCAGGTGTAAGTGTATTACAGTAACATTATGATTTTTTGCAATACGTCCTTCCACAATGTACATGTATATTACATTCATGGTTGGGTGATGTAACCCGGGGGGTTCACTGTATTTAAACCTTGACGGGGATTCTCGGCGCACATGGGGTACCTTTTTTGACGGTATGGCATGAACCCAAATTTTAGGATCTGGTATAAGAATGCCCCCTCATTATGTCTTTTGAGGTATTGCAATGGTCAGATTTTTCCATTTTGAGGTATAAAAATGGTCAAAATATGTTTTCTCACAATTATGGTATGGCATTGGTCTAGTAGCTACACATATCCTAATTTGAGGTTGTTTTGATACGTTTTCCTTAAAGATCGCCTTCTTCTTGGGACCTTCTTCAGTTTAAATAATAAGCTTTTTTCCCGGTAAAATATCCTACTTTGGACCAGTCATAGCATTGGTTCTATATTTTGACATTTGGTATGGCATTGGTCTCATGTTTGGGTATTTGGTATGGCTTTTAGGCACTATATCGGTTGGTATAGGAACACATCCAAATTTGACATTTTGGTATGGGAATTCAAAATATTGATATATGAGGGTTCAGCCTAGGTCCCCGGCCAATTTTGTACACAGTGAACCCACGGGGTACCATCGAATAATTTTGGCAACGTACCGGAGAACGACATTTTACTAAGAAATGGCAATAATTTAGCACAATATATTTTTTAAAAAATGAGAGCAGATGGTTACTTACTTTCTGATCGGGCCTCGTATATCGAGTACATCTAGTCTAATAATTATTTATCTATTTATCTAGAATGAGTATCTGGGTAAGGGCCACTCTGCCAAGGTAAACACCATTGCATGGGCACCAGACAGCTCTAGGCTTGCCACTGGTTCTGTTGATGCCAGCATAGTAATATGGAATTCTGAAGATCTAGGCGACAGTATTACTATCAGAGGTAGGCTCTGTCACTTTTCTTTGTACCAGTGCTTCCTTCTGAGTATGGGTTTTAAAAGTGTTTGTTTACTGTTTTGTATCTTTGGATGTTATCTCAGTTGAGTGCTTAATTTGCCTATAAATATCATGTAAAAATTTGGCTATTAATGTCTAAATGGACACAGCCAAGGAAAATTGCTTAAATAAAAAAATAAAATAAAAAAAGTGTGCTGTATAAAATGGCAGGTTGCCGTTGCCAAAGCAACAAGCTTAAAACATTCTCTTTTATATTGTAAACATGGGCGATAATATTACAAAATGGTGGTATTTGCAATGTCCATAAGACGATTCGAAATGAAGAGCAAAGAAGAAGGTCATAATTGTCCTTCATTTAAACGCATAACCTTGACCTTATCCATTTAATTACTTTAGCCAAAATAATGATATTTTGTATTGCGTGTCGTTCCAGGAGCTCATGGCCCCAGGACAGATATCACCGGGGTGGCATGGTTGGATGATAACACCCTCATCTCTGTGGGTCGACAGGATTGTTGTATTAAGAAGTGGAAGATTCACACATAACCGGAGGATTCTCTCCACCAATATGATGTTAGTGGAACGTTCAAGGAGGATTGCCCCAGGGTTCCAACTCGATATTTTTTAATCTCTCGCTGATTTCAACGGAAATGTTCACACGAATGAACTGCAAGGAGAATGGCTGATATTCTATTGGCCTTGTGTTGGTCGACGCCAACATCCAGCGATATTTACCTCTAACTTGGATGTGGTGTATAAACTAGTACTGAGTGACTGGTGTCTGGGTAAACACATGGCAGTTTTTACAAGCTGGTCGGTACTATTAAATCAACATGCCTGTCATTCAATGCTTTACTTTGTATTCGCGAATGCAACTAACGCCTCTCGGATTAACTTACTATTTTATTGGCAACTCATTTAAATATGTGTAACGACCCTTGGGCACGCTCGTCGGGGAGCTGTAGTGTACCGAGCTGGATACTGGACTCGAAAGAGAATGTGCTAAATTCAACGCCCCGTACGGGAATCGAACCCAGGACCTCCCGCTCTCGAGTCAGACGCTCTACCCCTGAGCCATAAGGGCTAGCCACTACAGCTGAGACTATACAGCTGAGACTGTAGTAGCAACTTGCTATCGAAGGTCATTACATATGTATAGTACCTGCCACTATTCCATTCATATTCAAATGAGTTGATCATAAAATAGTAGGTTAATCCGGTAGCCGCTATTTACATTCGCGAATACAAGCTTCGTCAATGACATGGAGTATCAAAACTGAATCTATAAATGCAGATGAAACTACATGTAAATGGTGGTAGAAGAATATAAAAATGTATTGAATCAATTAATAAATAAATCTTACAAACATAAAAAATAAAATATTGAGGAAATGTTTGTTTTTGTTTGATGAAGGTGATCCCATCCCAGGACAGGGGCGTAGGAAGGTGTAAATTCAACACTACGCCAAAAGATCCCGCCAAAACTATGAAACAATTGTGTCAAATCTTCTATATCAAAACGCCTATTTTATGCTCATTAAACGTCATTTTATGGCAATAGATTACAATGTTTTCATAACCTAAATGTGAACGGAAATGTTTAAGCGATACATTTGTATGGGCGATTGGTCATACGTATAGGTTGGCGTTTCGATTTTATATGCAAGCTTAAAATCTTTGGTGCCCCTTTTATTGTGCTTAAAATGTTCGAATGATTTTCATCATTTAAAATCACCATGCATGGAAAATCACAAATCGTTCTCACTTTTCTTATGTCTCGAACGATATAGACGATCAATTTCCAAATAACAATGTGAGATTTTTAATCATTTTCGAATAATTGAATTGAGATATATAGTATTGTCTGATTCCATCGTGTACCGTGCTTCGATGGAACGCGTATTTGAATAATCAACATTTTCAAGTTGTTTTTGTCTTTAACATTCATATTTCAAGAAGCACTACCAATAACAATTGATGATTTAGTAGGAAAATATATAATTGCTGACTTAACTATAATTTCTGCCTATGATTTTGCCTAGCAACGGAATATAAATCGATAAAGTGAAATTGAAATATTGGGTGTAGGGGAGAATAAAAAAATATACATCTAATTTAAAAGGGTTCATCATTATAATTACGATACCACGGTTTGCATAAGCATTACGGAACATGCGCAAAAAATTGCAAAGGTATTCATCAAGTAGTTTTTGAAAAAAAACTGTTTTTCTCAAATTCGTGAAGAGAACGCGAATCACGAATATTTGGCGAAATTGTATTTTAGTTTTAAAATCCCTAAGATAGTCAATAGTGGCTCGATTATCATGAAATAAAGCATGTTACTTTGCATTTTCTACAGTATTAGAACGAAACAAGGTAACTTTCAATATTTTATTTTTCAAAAAGTGTCATTTATCTGTGGCCCAGATTAGAAAAATAACAGAGGCACAAAAACCATGCATAAGGGTACTATTGAAAAAACCGAGCATATCATATGGTATCCACAAAACATTTTCTTTAGGCTAGTGTGCTCGAGATTACTTTTGCACAATACAATGAGAAAATATGAATAAAGAACATAGGAAAATTAATAAGCCTTTTTATTCTCACTTTTCAACACCATTTGAAAACTTTGTTTTTTGTCTCAATTATCTACATATAATATTCCATGACACGTCATATACAGGGCGTATCAAAAAAACGCAACAAGCAGTTATCTCGTTAAATCACAAAACTAGTGATGACTACATCAATTTCATTCAATGTACCATAAAGCCATGTCTCTCCTCTTTTCAATGATATGTCATTCATTCACATGTAATCATAGTTGGGTGAGAAAACCTTCCTTTTGTACAGCGGGTCAAAATCGGCTCTGGACCAAGCTTCAGATATTGCAAAAATCAGTGCAAGGGCTAAGTGCAAATGGAAGTTTTCCTGACTTGGATTGTTGTGACTTTTCTTTTGGAGCTATCTCATGAGCATCTGTGCTCACAACTCCTCCACCAGATATTGCAAATCTTCGAGAAGGAATTGCCCATGGGCTGCTTTTCTCCGCTTAAACCGACAGATGACTCGGGGCTAAACCATGCATGGCGTGGCCTGGAGAGATGAGCGCATATTTATTTAGAAGTGGTGGCAATTTGGAGGGGTATAGGATGTATTCTTGCAAGAGTATGAGTATGTTAACTTTACTGTCTATGCCACACCTGTCACACTTTTATCCAAGAGCCCGTATGCCCCATGTATGTCTTTTGCAATGTTTAAAACCTGTATCAAAGCTGAATTTTGCCCCACTTTGCGAAATGAATGATCTTTCGGCCAACCATGACTCCCTGCGAATCAATGACATTCCATTGCAAAGAAGAGTAGCCTAATTTGACTTTTCGGTTCATTGAATGAAAAGGATGCTGTCATCATTGGTTTTATATTTTCTTCCAATATTGCATTGGGCCTCGTACACTGACTTTTGCGATGTTTATAAATTGGTCCAAAGCTAATTTTGGCCCACTTTGCAAAAGGAATGATTACTCGCCCAAACATGTCCTAATATCAACGAATGATATACCGATTGTAAAGAGGAGACACGTGGCTTTATGGTACAATGAATGAAATCAATGCTATTATCACTAGTTTTGTGCTTTTCCAAGATAACAATCTGTTGCGTTTTTTTAAACGCACTGTATATGTGTACGCGCAACCAAAGATAGATTCCTTTTGACAGAATACAGTTAATATGGGGTGTTCCAAAAAATTAGACGCTTGATGAGGATTTTCTCAGAAATACATTTTTATTGCAAAATATAAAGACAATATGTTACAACTTATTCTCAATTTGTCTTTAGAACAGTATATCAAAATTGCTAATCATCAGGCACAAGTCACTTATTTCAGTTTACATGAAGCCATGTATTCCCAGCATAAACTAATGCCACCCATGAGATCCTGTCTCTTAATACATGTTCGATGTCGTAGTGCATTTTTCTTTATAAATCTTGACACGCCCCCCCCCTCCTTGCACAAGAATTCCTTCACAATTATTCTTCCACCCCATTCTTTCTTCTTGAAAAAGTTTTCAAATTATTCTGAAGATGCAAAAAGACAAATTGAGTCGAAAATAATTTTCAAACCATTTCAAAAATTAAACGTATATTTCCCTCTTAGCATTACATGACAACACTATTTGTTCTAGGCAACAGTTCTTGAATGCCATATGCTATGACCCTTAGAAAAATATTGTCAGGGATCGTGGGCCGTGATCTCTGTGAATATAGGTTCCCTTGACAACAACTTAAAACATCGTTTGGCCAATTTGAATCCTGTCACTTGTTTGACAATTAACCTGTAATGTAAAGGAAGTAGCCTATCAGAGATGACCGACCAGAATATCTAGTTTGTATTTATGACCACCGGTTGTTATGGAGACTAATTGCGATTGAGAAATCGAGTGAGGCGTTCAATGATCTAGAATACTCAAGGAGGATTGCACCCAGGGTGCAACATCGATATTCTGTCCCATATATGGGCATGTAGCAGGCATTTTGTTCACTTCAACATTTGAATCGTGAATTTTTGTCTCATTTTCTAACGAAAAATTCCAAAACTCACAAGAATTGATCGAGAAATCGATTCGAATCTTTTGAACTGTTTATTTTGAATTTTTAATCCGTTATAATTTCAGCAAATAACGACATTTCGACGTCAGAATCATTGTTGGAAAATATCGATTTCCGATCCTGGGAGATCCTCCTTGCGAATACCTCCATTGCGCGCAAACTATTGTGTTCTATCATGGAAGAAAGAAGGATTGTTATGATTATCTGAGCACATTTTTATTTTCAAAAAGACATTTTCACCTCAATTAAAGTACATTAATTACAGTTAATCACAATGTTTAAAAATCATAATAAGTTAGTCACAATACATTCAATCACATTCGACCTACATTCATCAATTTACAATATGTACACGTTCATGTAGTACAGTAACATGTACACAGCCAATCTGCAATTGTCAATGGTACTATAATTTACCGTGAATGGTACCGTGACATATGGTATTATAGATCAAAAATAGATCAAAATGGTATACCATACGGTACTGTGAACACTGTACGCCCCGATACTCAAATGGTACTGTACGGTACCATACTCATAATGTACCATATGGTACCGTGATTTTAGAGTGTGGATTGGGGGTGTAGTCTCCCTACGTGTCGTTTCATAACAATAAATAATTTTCTCCATTCACTCTTCATATATTTATCATTACATATACTTTTTACGTCATTCACCCTATTTATTCTTTCCATACAATATATTATTAACTAAAATTGCCCTATGTACCCTTTTATCAAAGTATATTGTTTGGCTTTATAAGTTGTGCAGTGTAAACCTTGTGGTGTCTCTTCCTATCCCAAGAAAGAACATCTTTGGATTGGATTGCAGCGTTAATACCTGAGGTTAAACGGTCCTTATAGCATTGAGCAAAGTATCTGGAAACAGAGATACAAATAGAATACATTCTTATTAGGGAATAATCGAATAAAATATAGGGAAACAGTATGGAATAGAGGCTTTCCATGTATGGATATGGTATCCCCTCCAACTCTTACTTTTTGTGAGAGATTTGCCAACTAAACGAGAACCACATTGTTCTATTTGCTGCTGATCCTCTGCACATTTTCAACTAGTTTTTTAACAAGAGGTTTTAAAGTTATTTTCTTGTATTCAATTCTCAGTGTTTTTCGAATTTTTTTGAAAAGGATTTGGCTAAATCCCTATTGATAGAATATGAAGACATCTTCATAAAAGTTGATTTAGACACAATTTTCAGTTTTAAATGAAATATATTCTATAAACTCTTGTGTTGTATGCCTCAGCTACATACATTACATAATATAAGAGAAGTAAAGGAGCATAAGGTACACTACCCTCCCATTGGTGGATCCAGAAGCTAACAAAGGGGCCCCATTTCAAGTCAGGAAAAAAAATCTGCCGAAATTGGGCCCTAAACTTTGAAAATTTAAGGCCTGTTTTTTGATAATTTGAGCTAATAAAGGCCCAAACTGCCAAGTTATGTCGCAAAAAGGCCCATTATTGAGGCCCTACAAAATGTATGGTTTCAGAAATTTTCAGGTTCCAAACTAATGGAGAGGGTGTACATGTACAGTATAACCTGTTAAGTGGAACATCTCTAGAAGTTGAACACCCTTGTAAGTGGAACACTTCTCAGAACCCCAAAGACTAAGAGAGTTAATGTTAATGAACCTCTATAAGTGAAACACCTCCTACTTTTCAGAGGTACCAAAGGTGTTTCACTTTGGAAGGTTCTACTGTATATTTACCGATTATTGTCCGATACTTCACTGTCATCCATACTGAGGTACTCATCAATCTGAAAATATCATTTCAATTGTTCAACATCTTACAACTTTAAATGTTTTGTATGAGTTATTGGAAAAAAGAAATGAATATTAATAGGCTTATATCCGTCCACACAAGTCCAGACTTGTAATATTGATTGAATGCTCAACAGTTTTCTCAACAGAACATTTTCAGACCCTGGATTTTTCACATCATCATGACAAATCCTCAATTGTGTGACTTTAAACTTATATATACAAAATTAGACCCTTGATAACTAAAACGTTAAGACATTGAGATCGGAGATTGAAAATACTGAAGATTATCTGCTAATTTTATCATAATACACATTTCCATTTAGGTAACTAGTTTGAAGAATGCTGTACTGGTGAAGAAAGCGCTTCCATTAAACATTTTAACATTGAGCAAATTGAGTAAGTGATAGCTTATTATTTAGCTCAAAGCCTAACTTATTTTTCTAAAAACTTGCATCTTTTTCTATTATAAGTACAGTAGCTCCGCCCTGGTTAAATACTTACATGCATCCAACGGCACTCTGCAATCTCTCTAACGCATGGATTCAGCTCCTGTGTTATAGGACGTAACAGACACATGAAGTACCAATCAGAAAGGCCGAATCTGTAATTATGTTGGTGACGGAAGCTCAGTATGGATTCAAACTCACATTTCACTCCTGTTTCCTCAAACACTTCCCTCGTTGAAGCTTCATGCAGGTCCTCTCCTGAAATGCACATGTTTTTCAAAATATGGTGAAACATGTATATACGAAGACCTCTCTAATTTGAACACCTCTCATTATTAACACTATTTTTCGGCTCCAAATTTGTAATCTCCAGTTGACCCACAAACATAAAATGTAAACATGTAATCAGAGCACATTTGGCTGATCCCGCAGTTGCATTTAGATTAGCCTAAAAGCAATGGGTGTCGACTTTTGCAACCGAAGATACCTCAAGAAAAGCCGGAGACTGCCGAAGATTTTATTTGCAAACGAAGTTGGCCGAGGGTACAATGAATGTGAAGAGGACGTCTCCAATTGGTCCAAAAGAGAGGCCCGGCATTCTCCGTCAGATTGAATCGGCAAAATTCGGTTGCATGGCTACCTTCGACTGCATGGCCCAACCTCGATTGAATGGAAAAGATGCTGTTCCTTTAACCCTTTAAGCATATCCAAATTTTCTCAGGAAACAGCTTCCATGGTAATACAGGGTGACCAGAAAGTAAAGATACAAATGCTCATATTTTGGAGATCTTATTTCAAAAAATAAGAGTCATTGTACCCTTACTTCCTGGACACACTGTAAAGAGTAAATCTTCAATAATTTGACTGTATGTCAATATGTCTAATACTTTTTAGATCTAAATTATTTGAATAATCGCCCTTCTGTGTTGGTATTTCTACAGTTTAAGTTGTTGATTAAATGCCTGTTTGTTTTATTAAAGCTTAATTCCATTTTTCCACCATACAAGGGATGATCCAAAAGTAAAGTGACTGTATCTACCATTTCAACTTTTTTTAACCAATTCTCATGAAATTCTCAGACAATGTATATTATCCACTTATACATTATAACCCAAAGTTTCAGTAGGCCTATCTAACTAATTCTCTCTATTTCGTATTTCAATTTTGAAACATCAATGTATGAATGAATCTTACCTCGGTCAGCATGACCTCCCGGAAATTTCCACTTTGCCTTTGTACTGCTGTGTGTGTACTTTTCTTTCACCACTAAGACTTCATCTTTCTCATTAACAACAAAGCCAGCAGCACCTGTAAACCATTTATCGTTCATTTATTTATTATGGGTTAGCACTGGGCGAGTTGGTAATCTGTGAAGGAAGAATGCTCTCTGACTGTTACTGCGACAATAGTGACATTAACATGCGCTTTAAGGTCCATTTTTGGAGCCATCGTGACTTAGAATTTGGTCATAAGTCATTGTTCTTCAAACTACACAGTTATACTTGAAATTGTAAATAACGATCATACCAAAAACGAATCCCCGAGTAAGACCCATACAACATTGGCACAAATCGCTATCTCTTAAATCAACATTCAAGCAATGGTCTTGCAATGTTTAAGGAATTTTTGACCATGTTGTGCATATTTTAATGCTACCTTAATAATCTGAGAAAGGCCAAGGAATCATTAAAGTACAAAATTACTATCTCCTAAACCTCCACATCCAGGCAATTGTCTAGCATTGGCAATTTTGTAGGCATTTACATTTTAAAAGCAATACAAGTGGGCAATTGCAAATTGATTTTGATGACCACGTAATTCCTCATATTAAATCGCTAGAAAAAGTCCTCTCGTAATTGAGCATTTATGCCTAGTGTTTGTTCTCTTTTTTTCAACATTGAATATAATTAATTTAGTGTCTCAATATTGACCTGCTCCAACTTACCTAAATATTGATTAGCATATTCTGGTAGGTGATTTTCTTCAGTCAAAGGCAGCCATTTTGTAAGCATTACATAACCAGGTTGAGCATGGTGGAATTCGAACCCATGCTGAAATTACAATAAATATTTGAAACTCCAGGAAATAGCATCTCAAAATTCAATGTTGAAATCATTTCAAATTTCCACATTGACATTTATTGAAAAAATGAAACCCTTTGTTTTAGAATTAGCAAATGCTTGTGTCCCAGTCTATTTTGACTGTAAAATGTCAAGTAAAAAAATCTCAGAATTTCATCATACTCAAATACAAATGGACTTACAGTAGCTGAACGTAATGTCCAATTCAGCACAGAGTACAGTGAGACATGTCAAGTGGAACACCTCTAGAATTGATACACCTCTGTCCCAAGTAGACCAAACGACTTCATGTCAAATGAACCTCTATTGGTAGAACACCTCATAAATGGAACATGTTTTAGAGTTATCAAATGCGTTCCACTTAGACAGGTTTTACTGTAGTTTCAATTTGTGGAAATAACAAAGTATTACCTTGGTACATATTGGAACAAGTTCCGCCTGTGAAGTCTTCACTTTTACCCATACTCCTCTCACACCACTGCTCCCCCACTGCTCCAAACTATCTAGAATCAAAATACGGATATGTCAAAATAAAATTTAATTTTTAATATTGCCAAATGTCAGGTTGTGATTGATATCAATTTTGAAACATGTACGAAAAAACAAAAAAGTAGAAAAATACTTATACTAACAAGGAGTAACAATTGGAAACACATGCCCACTGACTGAAGACGTTAAAGTAACATAACTTTTGAAATTGTCAAACTCCAGCTTCTGAAAGTTATTTATTTGAAACTAGTTTAAAACAAGGTATTAACATGCAAAATATCACCACTTGCTATTTGTTACAGACGTCATTTGTCGCTGACGCTGACAAACAGAAAGGATTGTACAGGATATTCATTCACAACAAAATTTTATATGTATATGATGTTGAATGAATTATTTTACATGTGAGCTTCTAAAAACAACAACAACAACATTTTATACAGTACTGCACCTTTAAGCAATGTATCAAAATGGTCAGGACTTTCTATATTTTTATCTCCGGTTACTATGGTGATTCCTCCGTAATTATCCATCCTTCCTTTCAGTATCTCAGCCATCCTCAATTTTCCTCGTTTCTTGCATAGAGGTGTTCCAATGGTTATCATATATCTGTTATCATATTCAACAGCTAGATAGCTTCATGAGATGCTCATCTGAAAATGCAACATAAAAGTCAAGCCATGTACAAGTCAAGGCGTAATGTACACTGTACTGTAATGACTCAAGGGTGATGACTATAAACTAGCTGTAGACACTATTACATCACTATTTGTAACTTGTTGCTATAACAACAAAGTGTAACGAGCCAGATACAGAAATTGAAAGAAAGTGTGCTAAATTCAGCACCCTGTGTGGGAATCGAACCTGGAACCCTTAGATCCAAAGACTTAAATGCTTTACCAACTGAGTTTAATCAACTACAACTACAACTTGTGGTTTGTTTTTGATACAATGACTTCCAGTTCCAGTAAAACCATTGTCTAATGTACTTACTCGAGTCTCTAGCCAATCCACAATATAGTGGCCTTTTTTATTATTACAGTATATCTTGTCAGATTGACCAATTTCCATGTTTTATGCTCAAAGCCAAAATTGGCCGCGCTGCACATACCTACCCAAATTATTTGGAGTGAACACCCAGGGGGCCAAGTGATAGTGGTAACCATGACTCTGCCACTGAGCCATAGTGGACGGCCTTAGAAGAAGGTAATACTGTACCTTTCGACAAACAATGGACCCCAGGACCCTAGATACTGAGATATGTACATGTAGGGGCACTGGTTATCACGAACCTCTGTGTCTAAATAGGTGCTAATGTCTCGATGACTCCATACCAAGATAAGTTGGTAAGACACAGAAACTGATTCTATTAGATTACATGCAATACTTCTGATTGGTTGAAGATGTCATGTGATCAACTGTAGCACTGGCTGATTCAGAGTCACAATTTACATTTCATTGATTTCAATCATAGACATTTTCTGCAATTCACTTTTTGACCTCATAAATACATTCTTGCCAGAAATCATTCACATAAACATTGACATATAGATTCGTAAGCTATTCCTTATTACTAAAACTTCGATCTCATCACAATAACAAGGAATTTCAGGCAATGACAGAAAATGTAAGTGATATAAGATTTATACTCACTTCCGGGTAATACTGTAAATTGTGGCGTGTCATTTCTGATGTCCAATCAAAAACCATACAATATTTACTCCGTAATAAATTATACCCGGAAGTTATTTTTTTCAAGAAATGTTGACATAAAATTATCTCATTATTTTCGCGATTTCTGCCGTCAATATGGCAGATGATGAGCCTTGTATTACGGTTGTGGATGTGTATGATACTGCTTCGTCGATAGGCAAAGAATTCGAACGGATTATAGATCTCTATGGTGCGGACGCAGTCACAGGCTTGATGCCCAAAGTGATTCGGACATTGGAACAGTTAGAATTTTTAGCCAATAAACATGAAAAGGAAAATGCTGATATAGCAGATTTGCAGTTTACAATAGAAAGGTTGGAACAGCAGAAAAATTCACGATCTGAAGAAAAAACAAGATACGAAGGGGTAAGTAAAATCATGGGCTTCCCATGGTAAAATCAAATGTCATGTGATTCAAAAATGCAGTCTGGTCTCTCAGTGTCAATCATCGATGTGTGACATTCACTGAAATTAATTTCAATCATTCAGTCATTAGACTCATAGTCTGTGATCTGTAATACCTGAAAATTTAAATCCATTGACTCACTTATTATTAAAAATATGTCACAAAGTTCACCTGTGTAGCTCAGCGGTAGCGTCTGTACCAGTTATGTAAAAGGTTCCAGATTATCCCGTTCCCGGACTATGGTCCTGTGAACATCTCAATCTTTTGCCTGTGCGATTACAACATGGGAGAATTTTTTACTCATCTTACACTTCAGATACCTACTTCAATAGATTCCTTGGTAATTTAGCATTCTTTTCGTGTAGTTGAATCCACAATTGTCTGGGTTTATCGGCAGAACGAAGACATTTTCGTTTTTGATCGCAATATTTGCGTGTAACATTTAACTTATTTCAACCGTCAAATTCCTCCATATTGGTACTTCCGGGCTACATCCGGGACAGCCAAACGGGGGATTCCCCTTTTAAATCCAACCGCCATTTTGAAAAGTGATGGAATCTCTCTCGATGAAAAAGAGAAAATGTTCCCGTTCTGCCGATATACCCAGACAATCGGCGGTTCCAATATATTAGAAGTTACATCTTGAGTTCTATGATGCATTGAGGTAGGTATCTTAAGTGTAAGGGGCGTAGATAATTCTCCCAAGTTGTAATTGTACAGGCAAATGAATGCGCTCAGTGCAGGACTATAGTCTGGGAACGGGATAAGTTCCAGATTCTATCCTCAGTTCAGGCGACTCTTGATTTGTTTTTTTTTGTGTAAAGAACTTCAGGGTGTTTGACCATGAGTGGTCCACAGGCCGTACAAGAGACTGTTGTGTGCATGTCTGTCTCCTTCAAGGAGTGGTTTCTTGGTCTGTCTTCCTGGATTAGTTATTTGAATTATGACGGTAAATATACAAGTGCAAAATTGAAGTGCCTCGCCACATTGTCTAACGTAATAAAACATGAAATTTGCCATTGTTGAATATCGAGAACAATTAATCAATTCAATTTTAGTACTTTCATAAACAATTTATTACTTTCTTTGTAAAGATTAAAGAAATAAATTGATTTTTATGAAAAAAACTAAGTGTGTTTGATGATGTTTTTTTTCATTATTTATGTCCCATAACTACCAAGAGCAATAAAAAGTAAGTAACAGTTAATTTACTCTTGAATCCATTGATATTTAAAAGGCAGTAAACAATCGCAAGGTTTTACATTTAAACTTAATAGCATTCGTTATTTAATGAATAATTCTGACATTTATAGGTTTACATGAATAAATTCATTCGTTTAAAATTCATTTATTACATATCATTTCTCCAGGCATGAGGAAAAAGGGTGAGGCTGAATCAGTGATCTCCCCAGCATTAAAGCAAATGGGCGCAATGCACCCACCTGGGATTTTGAAAACAGGCTTGCACCCACTTGAAAATCTATTTACTCTCACTTGAAAATGAGAAAAATCATGAAAAATTGGCATATTTTGACCAATTTTGGTCTGAATTGTGAAAATGTGAATTTTGCACCTACTTGATAAAAATTCTAGGAAGGCTGTGAGAATGCAAAACAATTGCAATTTACATTAATGCAAAAAAGATTATCTCGTAATTGTCTTATAATGCTGCTAGGCAGTTATAGGTGGGCAGACTGGTACCCTCAAATATTGACATCAAGATTCAAGGAAACTACTTATCAGTTCAACTTGAAAGTTTTACAGATGTAAGATGAGACTAGTGCCAAGATCTGATTAGGTTCAGGGCATGCTGGGTAAATTACTAACTATTGTTGGCCATTTTTAATTTTTCTTTTAATCTTGTCATCAAAGTTCCAGGAAACTACTTATCAGTTCAACTTGAAAGTTTTACAGGTTTAGGGCATGCTTGGTAAATTACTTGGTCCTCATTTTAAATTTATCACTGGTATCTTGTTTTAAAAACCATGAAAATTATTTTATATTGCCTTTTACACAATGTTTGCCTATTCAAATTTGCCTCAAATACTTTGAGATCGTGGCATAAATAATTTAGGTATAGGGGAAAATCAATTTAAGAATGGGAATTTGGAGGGGGAGGGGGTCACCAGCCCTTAAGAAAAAAGCCATGGTAACCATGGTATTCCATGGTGCGTCCATGGTAATCCATGGTTTTCCATGGAAATTCATGGTTTTTCATGGTATTTTCCATGGAAATTCATGGATACCCATGGTAATCTTCCATGGATATTTACCATGATTTTCCGTGGTAATTAGTGGTTTGGTAATTGTTTTTTCATGGACATGCCATGTTTTTACCATGACACTTGAGTTGTAAAATCATGGGCTTTCAATACTATTGAATTCCCATGGTAAAATCAACAATTTTGGCAGGTTTTGTTTTTACCCAAATCTTCAAAATTGAATCAATATTTTAACGAATGAATCCAAGCTGGATTGAGACTAATCATAGCGAGAAGAATATGATGCCGCTCCCTCTCAAATTTTTGAGAAAGTCAGCCTTCTTGACAAAAGCTGGTTTCAGGCCTGAAATACAACCATGTTTTTACAATCTGAATATATGTTTAGTACATTCTGTACATAGTGTCATATGACAAAGAACTTTTTACTTAATATTTTTTTAATTGATGATTTGACTCCACAATTACAAGTAATAATTTTTTTGCTGGGATTTGCTATCATTTAACTTTGGCACTGATGTAAAAAAAGACAAAATAAGTGAGAAAATCAGCTCACTGGATTCCCTTATTGCAGACTGAATAAAGATTTTTACTTGGAGTAAATCCTATTTGGTTTTATTTGATCAACAATGAGTTTTTGACTTGCACTGTCTACACTCACCGACAATAATAATTACTGGAGAGGGAGCATTAGAAAGAGTAAGATTATCATATATAATAACAATTAAGATCAGAATATTTAAGAATTATGCAAACATGGCAAATGAACTATTATAATCTATTGCAAAGAGATTATTTTTTAACATTAATTTGAGAGATAATATGCTTATAAAGGTTGAATGGGACTTAATTTGGAGAAGTTCATTTAGAAACATAATGTATTATTCTTTTTTCTGCATCCAAAAGACCAAACAAATAGCCCATGGAAAACCATGGACTTTCAAAAGATCAAAAGAATAACCATGGAAAACCATGGCTTTTGATTGCACTTTCCAAAACATCAAAGAAATATCCATGGAAAAGCATGGCTTTCGATTGCAATCAACCGACTTCCATGGCTTTTGATTGCAGTTTCCTCAACTTCAAAGAAAGAAACCATGGTTTTTGATTGTATTCTCAAATATACGAAATGTAATTTAAGAAAATTTATTTATTAAATTATTTCATATTGATTTTTAAAACTGAAAATTAAAGAAAGTGTTGTAATAAAACAGAGCTTGGGCTAGTTTGACTTAATCTTTTTCAAGGGAAAGAAGTGTTTGGCCTAAAAAAATAAGCAATCTCTATCTAGTCTTGATCTACACAAAATCCCTTTGCACAGTTGTTTTTGAAATCTTGTGGCCTACTCTGTGCTGCATTAACTGCACTATCATATTTCTATATCAAAAATTTTTCTCAATGATAAGTCTAAGTCCAACTGGGATATATCATCAAAACATTCATTTTGGAGATTTTGGTAAATACAAATCCTACCAAAATTGTTGATTTTACATCTCCATGTGTCATGGTAAAAGCCACATCCATTCAAAAACAATTATCAAACCACCAATTACCACGGAAAATCATGGTAAATATCCATGGAAGATAACCATGGGCATCCATGAATTTCCATGGAAAATAACATGGAAAACCATGAATTTCCATGGAAAACCATGGATTACCATGGGCGCACCATGGAATACCATGGTTACCATGGCTTTTTTCTAAAGGCCCCGGCCTACTATGACAAAATGTGCCATATCATGAAATATGAGTTACAGTGACACTTACGCTGTTACGATCAATTGATATTACGGGACAAGTGGAGAAAATCATTGATTATCGTCCTATATCAAACAAGGCATTTTCTGTCGATCAATAATGATGTGGAATTGAATTGTTCACACAGTTTATTATGCCCAAAATTCTCTCTTATTGTGTCATATTCACTACACTGCAAATTCACTGCACTGCAAATTCACTGCATTTTTTCTGTTATCGCAAGACATTGATTTAAAGTATGGCTAAAGTATGACCGATTCTTGATGTTTCTCATTCATGCTCTCATTCTGCCAATAAACTAGGAAAATTGAGGTTAGAAGTATATTACCGTATTCTCACAAATACAGACATCTCTTACATGAGAGTTTGGGAGACACACCACATGGGTTTATTAGGGTGAATAAATATCCAAAACAATCCCTTTACAATCAGGATTTTATTGAAGTGTGATTTTTGGTGTGACAGTGCATGGTAAAGCCTGTATATCTAAATTCCGAACACCTCTCTATCTTAACACCACTTTACACGAACACTGCTCCCATTTTTATAATCTCTCATTGACTTCCATGTTAAAAAATCTCAAAATGTGAAAATATCGAGCACTTTTGGCACAACAGCACTCAAATTAGACAGGTATGTTCTACACTGGCAATACACTTGAATCAGTTCATTTCGGTAACAAAATGTCGGAACCTTGAAGGTTTGATTTTTCTTTTTTCCTTATTTCACTGATTGTAGACAGAATTACCACAACATTTTTATCGCAAACGTGTGTCAGTATCATATGTTTGACAAAATGTACATGTTTGCGACCAAATAGTTCAAAAGACAACAGAATGGTCGATCTAATACCTCATCATTGTTATGATAAAAGCGCAGATCTTAACCGTTTTTGAAGTGTTAGATAGCATTTTTAAATTTCCAGGATATCGTGAACAGAGTAGTGATCTGTATGTAAATGCTTGTTAATGGCTACTTAG